TTCGTTTTCCGGTGAGACCACATCACGAATTCGTTACAACCAACTTTCCCTTCGAAATGAAGAGTCATGCAACAATATTACATTAATCAATTCTTCGAAACCCAGTTTTTTATTTATATCCTCTTGACCCAATGTTAACGTGAAACTTCTACAAGAATGTTTCAGCTCTGAAGATGTCGATCAAAATGATGGACGAAAGCTCAGCTCGTTTTCACCTGAAGCGAGGTAGGATATCGCGTGGATTGCGTCAAACTGAACGTCGTATTAAAGCTAAATGGCTGCAGTACAACGAGCTGCAACCATCATCTTCTAATGAGATCGACTCCCGAACCTCATCTTGATGCACTTTTATACGAAATGAAAGTCTCCCTAACAATTTTATCTCAGGTTAATCATCAAAAACCATTTACGCTTCGTATATACTATTAGCTATCACTGCTGCTTTCGTACATCTACGTACACATGAAGGTACATGAACACACACAAACACGCATACAGACGTACATGCCTCTAGCTCGACTTTATACTCCAGCAAAATGTACAGCTTTAGGAAGAAGATGATGAGTTGTGTTGACTAGTTAGCTTGAATTTAGCTGTAAGAATGATATCCTGTTCTAATGCTGTCCGTCTTATGACAGAAGATGGAGCCCGATTTCACCGGACTCGAAGTCGATTGCTTTGGGGACGGCTTAAGTGAGAGGATTTGAGGAAAGCCAACCGACAGGTGGCCAAGAGCAAAGCAAGGTGGAAACTAAATGGAAACGTCAGCTCTATTAAAATCATTGTGGGAAAATTGTACAACCAGTCCTTCATCACCTTAAACGACATAGGGTGAATACATCTCATATTACTGATTTACTGGTAGTCTTGAAACTCTACTCACATATGAAAAATAAGTTACGTAGTCAATTATTATAGTATAAATACGTTTAGTTTATTGACAATCCCAACAAAAAATGTGATATGGGAAAAGGCCTGGCCTACCTTGGAATTCACATCTGCCCTGTGACCCAAGGGCACTCGTGGCAATGTGGCCAAGTGGTTAACGTGTCAAACTTACATGCTACCTTGTCACGGTTTGACTCCCGCTGGGGGTGTTGATTAGACCTATTCGAGGTCGAAACTGATATCCACCCTGGATGAGAACAACATTTTGGAAAGCTAGGCCATGTGAAATTCAATGGAAACGTCAGCTCTATTCATATCTTTGTGGGAAAATTCTACCACCAGTGCTTCATCACCTTAAACGAAATAGGTGAATACATCTCATATAACTTACTAAAGTCGTAGGAGCTATTTTCTGAAAGCTTACACGTTTTAGAGATTTACTTTACCTGAGCACATATAAATCGTGACGTTTTATGTATCTCGCTACCTCTATTATTTACAATAATCTTCTGCAACAATGTATAAACAGCGGAGAACTCCCAGATGCGTATGGTCTACCAAAAACCTATAAGCAAGGTGCTGTATTTAGAATTATTGTAGATAATAGAGATGGTGTGATGCCTAAAACATCACGAATTATGCGTACTCAGTTAAAGAAGATAGAGTCATGTCACAATTTTTCATTAAGGAATGCTTCGAAGCCCAGTTTTTCTTCATTTCAGTATGTTGTGTTTTAAATTGTAGACGAAGCCTCGGAAAAGTGGTGTTACCGGCGCTTGAGGGAAGATACAGGCCGGCTACAGTAAGTCGGCTCCGAATAATCTTTGGCCGTTGTGGAAATGTGCGAAAAGATGCTTAACGTGTTGCCTTGATTTTCTTTAAGGGATTCAGATCAAGTGCTGGCGACAAGCCTGCGGTCTCCATGTGCGCTGGGGGAGGAGGAGAGTCTTGATGTTCCTGTAAACAATGCACTCGAGGGCAAAAGCCTACTCCTCACCTGCTGGATACACTCCACAAAGGCACCAGATTCAGTCGTCTGGCGCAGGTCAGGAAGCAGTGTAAGGTAATAGAGTTGAAACAAGGCCATTCGACATGTTTTGACGTGTACTATCTCACCGCATAGAACACAAAAGCGAAATTGGTTTGAAGTGTTCTGCTCATTGAAGGGGTGCAGATGCCACCAGGGAACTGGGCAAACCAAAAAAACAGCACCTCGAAGTGCTGGATTTCTTGTCGTTCGCCCAACCGGAAAGCGAGGCAGTCGCAACTGCAAGGCAATCTTCCCTACTTTTTGGTATAAGTAGGCTTCGAGCTTATCAGCCCCGGTCGGTTAAGTTATTTCAAGACTGATACTTGAGGCTTCGCACAATCAGATGAGGTCTGCTCATCTGCTCTGAGGCTGCATGCTGGAATGTTAAGATCGCTACAATACTCACGATCCGTTATAGAATCGGATGAGATTGCCTATTTTGGGGACAAGGATACATTAAATTCAATGGCCTCCTGAGGCCTGTGGAAAAACTCCACTTTCACTACCCCCCCCCCTTATCCTGTCCCGACTGGTATCAACTTTCGACGGATTGAAAAACCACTCGGACAATAGTCGACAATTTCCAGTCTACTTTCGCGAATCTGTAACCATCACTGCCGTACATGTGCAACTAGTTACTGGATTAACGTTTCCTCACCTCCCCATAACAGCTGCCTGGAGCTGTTGGTGTTTGAGGCGGATTCCCCTTTTATTGGTGGTGTTTAATTCATCCCAGTGCCCTATTGAGTACTCAGTCCTGGAGACGTGTATGTGCATGTGTATGTAGGCACAGAAGCCCAGTAATGGTTCTGAGCAATCAGACGATAATTAAGGTTTAGCTAACTTTTTGGCTTGGTCTACTACATAAAGATGACAGGACTGCAATCAGCTACTTCGTCTTCCCTCTTCTGCAATTTGCGTCACGTTTCGTCAATAATCGTACCTGGCAGACAGCATCGCCGAGGGACGGAGCCAGGATCAAGCCAGTCCTCTGGACACCTGTTCTGCCTAGGAAGAGTAAGAGAGCGAGTACGAGTCGCTCGCGGTATCAGAAATAGTCATCACTCAGGATGAGTTCTGTCTAGCTGAGTTCGTTATACCAAGAAAAGTTTGGTTTCGAGGACTCTATTGGCTTATCTTCATTTCGAATGAAAATATTTGGTAAAACGAGTTGCTGTAAAGCCAATCGACAGCTGGTCAAGAGGAATCCGCCGTCGTCTGATAGTGGGATCGACCTTCTAATGGCTTCACCAAACACTTTTCCTCGAAATGGAAGTAAGCC